AATGCAGTGGCTATGCGAGAGAAAATTTGCGTCCTTAAGCCATAAAAGGCAAACCTAATATTTAAAAATTATCCAGCTTTGAAGCTGTGCTGTTTTAATCATCAATGTACGATGTGGAATGCGTGACATGACACTTAACTTAAAGCCGGAAAACTGTCTATTTGAAAAGAGGAGATTGCTCATTTCATTTGTGAATTAGAAATCTGTAATATTCGAAAAAGGTAATTCTGTAGTTTACACTTGCGTGAATTTATTGAATCAATGCAGTGGCTATGCGAAAAAAAATTGCATTCTTAAGCCATAAAAGGCAAACCTGTTATTTCAAAAATTAGTCCATATTTTACACCATGCCGTTAATTACATGACTTCAGGGTGATACAACGATAATTATCACGCAACATTTGAAGATCAATCACTAAAATGTCTAATTACACATATTTATTTGATCGACTGAAAGTAGCCTATACAGCAGGTTTTCTTTTTCATTCGTTCGCTCATGAATCAACCTTGATAGGCAGAGTATTTCGCTGAATCGCGCCAGTTGGGTCGTATGTTTGTTTTTACCCTTTACACCCTAAAATCAGTATGAATGTTCTCCATGGTCTTCTCTGCACATGTCCTAAGGTGCTGACAAGGAGAACTTGTGACGCAGTTAAGAGCTTCTTTGGTTTGTGATCACTTCCTTTATTCTCGTAACCTTAATGTTTAATTCATAGGTGATACTGTGAAGAGAAATTAGAAACAAGTAACTCTTAGGGCTTAAAGGGTTAATGTAACATTTCTCGTGACATGATTATTAAGGTTTTAAAAATAACTCAAAAAGCTATTCGCGTTAGTCAGTGTGGTACTCACGTGAGAACTGTGCTCTACCGCGGCGTGGTTCGGTCACTAAACGTAGCCTGATGGAATAAAACTTTGAGAAAAAAGCTAGCACACGAATAAGATTTACTTAATTTGAAAGTAAACCTATTGAATGAGCTGTTGGTAAAGTGATAGTAGTAATCATTAACTTGTTCTTTTATTACTATTTATCACATAAACTGCGGTGTTGTACAAGGATTTCCGGCCCTGAGAAAAGCCGTAACAACATACGTGAAAAAATTTCGTATTTTTTCCACGTGTGAGACAATGAGGTTCAAAAGAAAACCGGTATACTAAAAGGAAAACCGAAAGTTGCGTATTCAGTGGCTTTGGTGTTAGTATTTCTCACGTCTGAGAATGAAAATCGACAACTGGAAGATTTGCCACTAGCCGATTTTGGCCTTTTACCTGAAAGACTTCTTCTTTCGGTAAGGACATAGTCAATAAATGAGAATTTTGTAAATTGAAAATTGCGACCATTTTTGTTTTTGTAATCATAATTCAACGCATTTTTCGAGGATTGTCGATTCATTTATTTTCATTCATTAATTAAGTCGGCTTTTCTTCCCCGTGAAGGACTATAGTGTTTATATGATAAACAAAATAATACACGGTTGCTTTTAGATATGGAATTTCTCTTCTCGTGTTCAACTTGACATCTCACTCGTTCGCTGCGCTCACTCGTGAGCTATCGAGTTAAACACTCGAAGAGAAATTCCATATCCACGCGCGCCCATGTATTATTCTCTATTTATCCCCCACTCTCTCTTTTCCTGTATCCTTCGATAAGTTGAGTCAAAAATAACCCCATTGTAATGCTAGAAGCAGCGTCGTTTTTCTTGTGCAACGTCATAGTCATATGTCACGCATGTAAAAAAACAGCATTAGGGAAGTTGCGGCCAAAATAGGCTATTAGTCTGAAGCAGGACACATATCCAGAGTAGAGGACAGCTGGACGCGTTATAGTTAGACCAGAAGTTTATTTATTACAATTCAACAGCACAGAGGACGAAAATTGAAAAAAGATGTGGAAAACGGGTAGTCTTTCATTTCCCGGGTTCTAATTAGCGATATTGGGCACGCATGACCAGAGGGACAGCGGTCGTACAGGACCAGTGGAATCAAAGTGGGCACCCGGGACCAGAGGGACAGGGGTCACACAGGCCCGGAAAAAATAGCCAGAACACGGGACCAGAGGATCTGTGGGAACTCAGGAAAAGAGAGACAGTGGATCCAGATGACCAGGGGGACAGTAGGCACGCAGGACGAGAGTGACCAAAGTACTGAAGAGAAGGCGAATAGAACTAGAGGGACGGTGGGGATGCAAGACCTCAGCCTCAGTGGGCACTCAGGAACAAAGCAACAGTGGACACACTAGATCAGAGAAACAACAGATTCACAGAACCATAGGACTTTCTACACAATGGACTAAGAGACCTTTGGACACACATAAGTGGAGGAACAGTGGACATACAGGAACAGGGGACAGTAGGCATTGAAGAACAAAGGAACAGTGGGAACCTAGGACTAAAGGACACAGAACCAAAGCACTGAACAGAAGGCGAATAGAATTAGAGGGATGGTGGGGATGCAGGACCACATCCTCAGTGGGCACTCAGGAACAAAGCAACAGTGGACACACAGGATCAGAGGTTCACAGAACCATAGGACTTTGTGCACTATGGACTAAGGGACCTTTGGGCACAAACAAGCGGAGAAACAGTGGATTTACAGGACCAGGGGAACAGTAGGCACTCAGGAATAAAGGAACAGTAGGCATTCAGGAACAAAGAAACAGTGGGCACACAAGATTAGAGAAACAAATGGTTCACAGAACCAGAGAACCTTTGGAGACACAGGATCAGAAAAAAAAAAGAAACAGAGGACACATAGGACGACGGGAACAATTTACAACTAGGACCAGAGGAACAGTTGACACACAGGAAAAGAGGAACAGTTGACACACATCGCCATCGTAAGAAAGCCTTTATCCCCCAAAAAGTATAAGGTCATGGCCAGTTGTTCTTCAACAGACAACACATCAAGTCCTTTTGTACTCCTACCAGGTTGAAGAAAGGGTCGCAATTCGTCCACTACTGACATGAAAACTGCACTTTTTATTCTCAAGTTCTTCTTCTGCTCTCTATCCAGCAAAATTCCATCGAACAAGTTAAGCCACCACTGTTCTGTCCCCTCCCGAATTTCTCCACATTCTACCTCGACGACGAGGTAATTCTTATTCGAATGAGTAAAAGTCGTGTAACAGTGGCTTTGTACTTCTGCGTTGCCTGAACAGTTAATTGCTTTTGGCGGAAGCTTCGCAACATTAAGAGTGTCAATGAAAAGCCACAGCACTGAAAAGTGGCAGCAAGAGCATCTAGTGAAACAGGTGCAGAAACCGTGCAGAGAGAGGGGCTGGGGGTCTTTATACATGCCTTATGACCATTTAGACCCTAAGTGGTTTGAATAGATTTTGCGTGACCTTTTATGCTAAACAATACTCTCGAACAGATATTGAATTTAGCCGCCGGGAAAACTGTGCAAACCTCCAATAAGATCGCAGAAAACCGAATTTTAAAGAGTGTTAACTTCCCTCCCAAGGTTTGCAGAACACTGAAAAGGTAAATAGACTTGAAAGTAAATGACAGGCGACTCGACTAGCCGCTGATGCATACATATTAAAATATGTAAAAGTGAAATGATGGTGAAGCTCAAATCACAGGGGACTGAATTCACCTCTATTTGGGAATGCCCCTTTTTTAATGTGTCAGTAACCAGAGTCGTAAAAAGAACTGCCAAAAACCAGATTATGTATCCTACGTTAGAAAGCTTTTAGTGGGTTGCAAGCTATTTAGAACAGGGAATCATTGTTTTGTTAATTACCTTTGGGTGCAATTATGTTATTGCTGAACTTTTTATTATAACATTCATTCACAGTTTTCGAAAGGTAGCCATGTATAAATGCAATTGTTTGACAAACTCATCCAAATCGATTACATCCTTATTTCGTAAATGAAGGAGTAATTTTCTAAAGAAACTGTGATGCTGCGTAAATGATTTGCCGACGCGACAGAGATGCAACGTAAGCACATTTTTCCAGACGCGCAAGAGGTCTAAAAACCCACATTTTACTCGTTTAGTTACTTTATGATCTGCAAATAGACAGGATGTGCAATCAGAACGTATTGTTATACTATAAAACAAACAAGTTTGAGGAAACCGATGAAAATAACTATAATAATGATAGAAATTGCTTGTAATCATTGTGAGGAGCTAATATAAATACAAGGGAAACGCGTGACTAACTGCTACGATATAAGTTTTAAACGTGACTCTGTATTGATAAACAATCAATCAATTCAATCAATTACAGACTTTATTTAACTTCGAATTTGTTGATAGCAAAATTGCTGATATCTCCGAAGATAATAAGTCTACACAATAATTAGAGTACATTAATAGGTGAAATATATGGATAGATACATAAAAATTAAACAAGATAAAAATTAAATATTATAGATAAAAATTTACATGTATGTACAAGTAATTTCAGAATTTAACATCGGTCATAAGAAAGAACAGCATTCAATATCCAGTTGAAAAGTTTTTAGTGCAATTTTGAAGGCAGTAAGAGAAGCAGACACGCGGACATTATCCGGCAATAAGTTCCATAGTTTGCTGGCATGATATCGAAATGAATGAAGACCATAATTTGTTGTATTTTACATGTGGGATAATTAAACGGCCTCTCACTTTAAAAAGTGCAATCGGAACGCATCTTTACACTTTAAAACGAACAAGTTTGAGGAAACCGATGAAAATAACTATAATAATGATAGAAATTGCTTATAATCATTGTGAGCAGCTAGATAAATATAAACACAAGAAAAACGCGTGACTAACCGCTATGACATAAATTTTAAACGTGACATTGTATTGATAAACGGCCCTTTAAAAAGGATAAGTTTCTAAATTTCTCTGTTGATGACTTCCACCATGGTTGTCGAGCCGTATTAACATCAGTAGAGAACTTTATTCCAACTCGTCTGAAGAGTCACAGGTATATTTGAGGGACAGGATAAAATAAAATAATAAAACAAAAACTGTCATGAAATAAGTAATAAAAACACGTTTATTATCTGATTTACATTGTCAAGACGGTTTATAATACTGGCATCACATATATAGTTGATCATTCAATATGTTCCACAATCTTGGTGCATAAAATTTAAAATAATACCTCCCTTTGGAAGAAGTATATTTACGTGGTAACCGAAATTTGTTTTGACCTCTGAGTCTATCAAAGTCACAATGAAATGTTAAGTCCTCGATTTGAGCTGTGTTAATATATGTGTCTGTCCCCTTGAAGAACTTATGTGTCCTATGCCTCCATGTTATGTAGTCTTCTCTTTATCTCTCTCGGGAGTTGACAAGTCCCAGGTTATCTAGAAGAGTTATATATTTCTTAGTTTTACTATTAGTAATAATTCGAAATATACTTTTGTTCGGAATTTCCAGTTTAACACAATTTCTTACACCAAAGAAATGCAACATTTACTGCAATTTTGGGGTTTAGGCATTAAGAAAGTCAAGAAAGTCTTGTAAAGCCTTGCTTTGAGTTACTGAGAGTGTGTTTGAATCTTTTGACGACTTTTAATCGTTACAGCTGTGCTAACTCGGTAATGTGGGATGATCTTGTGCTGTCAGCGACGAAATACTACTGGCATTGTTATGGGCTTACAGTTCAGTTTGATCTAATTATGCAACCAAGCTTACATTTTCAACATGATATTTCCAAAAGCTCATTTTACGTGAAAACGCCGAGATAGTTAGCGTCATCAAATTTTTTTTCAACATACTGGAGCGGCTTCTTCCCTGCATAATAGTAAACATAACGAGAAATTACAATGTGATATAAATCTGCGATTTAATCGACCTAAACAATGGTTTTAGTAACCAGCCCTGACTCAAACATGAACAGTTGAGGACTGTATACTTCGTCTTCAATGATACTCTTTTGATCTTTGACCTAGGCACCTGCAATGTTACTTGTGACAACAGGTAAAAGCCGCCTTATCTCATATTTAACTAAAACTAAGAAGTTTGAGATGTATTCCGGTAGGTTGTTCAAAATTTTGTTGTTTTTGTTGTAAAGAAATTCTCTTTACGGCTTAAGTCGTACAGATGTAAACAAAAGAAAACAGTAGTGACCTATCACTACTGCGCGCGTGATAGCCAGCCGAATGGATTTGAATTTTTCTTCTTAATTTTTCCATTGTAACCATTTAATACTGTTAGACAAAGACTTAATTGTGAATAGGCAGGGCTTTGAACCTCGTTTGCTCAAACCTGAACGTCTCCAAATTTTTTTCCTCGAATTAAGACAAATAAAAATCATCATTGGGTTGAGGAGGCATCTAACTTCGATATTCCATCGCTTAATACGCAGTTAGTCCTGCGGTTCCTTTCCCTTGCTTTTTACAGTAAAATTTTTACTCAGAGGTATGTCTGCAGAACCATCATTTCTTGCCGTCCTAGTAATTCAGTACTGAGTTGAGATTTGTCATACCACAATCACGTTGTGATATAAGGCAAGGCGGTTGAGCAGACAGTGTAGAGAAATTTACCCATGTTATCACCTCTTCAAGTCCAAATAATTATTGCAAGTGGGTTTTTAAAAATGGAAAATGCCTAACAAGAGATTTGAATTGTCATGTGCATTTAAAGCATGAGAATACAAGCCTTCGTTGAGACTTTCCATCCTCTCCGAAGTTTCTCTCGGTGGCCATAATTATAAACGTAACTTAGTTTTTACACATGTTTTAATGCTTTTCTTTGTACCTTTTCCAGCTGACAGCTCAACAGGAGTAACGTCACAAAGCTGAGCTAAACTGAAAGTGTTTTCTTACAAAAAAGTGTGAAATCGTCAAGGTTCATGCCCCAGGTATAAAACATCTATCATCTTTATAACCTCCTTCTTGTGTTTGCAGCACGTTCAGTTCTCACAATACTGGTGGTAAACAATGCGGATATTTGAGTGACCGCCAGAACTGGTCAATGCTCATATTTATAGCGATGTTATCCATGTCTTTGTGATGTCGTATGATAGGATCGGTTGAATGTTTTATTTCTGCAATGATCATTAAGAATTTGATAAGATATTTAGGTTATTGGGCGCGCACTCACTGATCGGGAGATGCGGTAAGACCAGAGTCAATGTTCGCTGCTCTTGTTAACTGATAAAACATGACTTTTATATTACAAAACTCTAGTTCGTTTTTTCTTTGTAAGACAGTTTGTCCATAAATGTATGAATTAAGTTCGATGCACAGTTGTCCGACACTAGTAGAATTGTCGGCAGTGTCTCAAAAAGTTAGGCCATCAAAGTAACCTCTTTATAATGGAGACCTCTATAAAACAACGCCTCCTCTTTATAATCTTCCTATCCCCCCCCCCCCCGTGTAAAATTATACATTGCACTTCGCGAAGAGCCGCATTTTGGGAAAAAGCGAAATTTTCATCTTGACTAAGAAGTAAGTTCCACTCCCAATTCCCATGACACGGCATAGCACTCTACATTCTACTAAATAATATTTTTAACCTGTTATTTAAATGGTTTCTGTTGTGATTGAAGTTCTAAGATGCTGTTTAAACGTTCAGCGTCATAGTACGCTAGAGTGAGACTATGTTTAGGAAGGTTTTTGATCGATTCAAAAACTATAAGAAATTCAGAAAATGTTTCATCATCTTTATTTTTAGCGAATTTTTTAGCGATATTCAAATAACGCATCCTCATCAATGTTTTCTTGCACTGGTACGATTATGTTATCGCTTTACAAATTCACCTTTTCCTTCAATGGTGGTCTGCTCTAGTGAAAAAGGAAGCTCTTAGCCCTTCTCGATCAGTTTAGCAAGATTTTTCTGTAAATGAGGGGTTGATTTAACTATTTGGTTTGTTCCACTGACATCAATGATAGAGATGTTACAGCAATCGATGAACTCATTTCTGTTGCCAGCTTACAGTTTAATTCGAAGGCTCGCTTCTCAGTTTAGGAAAATCATCCGTGAGATTCTAAAATTTACTTAGATGCATCAAATGATTGCTAATTAAAAGGTACAGAATGATTTAGTATCATTTTCATCTGCGTGATAATTCGTGTTTGAGTCACAAGTATTTTTAAGAAAGGCAACATTCAAATACGCGGTTAAGATAATATGCTTAGTAAGCATATTTCGGCCATGACGTTGCATTTTTATTTGGACTTCCTTTGGGAAATCCTGTTTTCGTTATAGAATAAATCACTCGAAAAAAACCTCTTACAGACAACACACAGTACAAGTTTCATTATTTTGCATCGAATTTTTCTTCTTTTCCTCGAAAAAGTAAACAGATTTCATAAATATAGGGAACAGATATACAATACGTCCGTTCGTCAAGCGAGATGCTACGGCCACATATAAATATTAATCAATTCACCGTCGCCGGAACAACGGCGAATACGTTCAATTTTTAACATATTTTTCAAATTTTAGGGCAAGAATATCATCCAAATAGAAATCTCTTAACATCTTTATCGATTCGTACGGAAATTTTATTATTAGTATTGATTCTTTCTTAAACGAGCGGATGATTTCAAAGTAACAGAGAAAAGTTAAAGCGCTTATTTCAGTTTCTGAGTATTGTGAACGTTTGACTTTGGTCAATATAACTGCAAAGCGATATATATTGATGAACTACATCAACAGGTTTGAAGTAAGGAAATCTTACCAGTCTCGGCTGCAGCCACGATACACTTCGAAGTTCCTTTAGTCAATATTCTGATTGCACCGTTTTTAGGCTACATTTAGCCATGTGATGTTACATCGACGTATTCTGTTATTTTGAAGATAGTTTGTCGAGCTACTTTCCCGCTTGATGTTATAAAAGGAGGTTTCCTCGTGTCTTCGACTAGATCACTAAAACGTGTTCTGTCACGAAAAACCTCGTGGCATATTTTAGTTAAAATTAGATTCCTATTTCTGTCAACCAATTATAGTTTGGCAAATAAACTCGTGATGAATGTGTTATCATCCAGAAATTAGCATTTCGCCTGTTTTGAATGTTATTATTGTTCGCGTTCATTGAGCAATATTTCATTTCTTGCTCAAGATAATTTCATCTCCAGTGAAAATTTATTATCATTAATTTGACGATAAATTAGCTCTTGAGGTGATTTAAGTATTTTAAGCTGAGATTTTGCCTGTTGGCTATTTTACCTAGACCGGTTTAGGTAAAAATCAACGGTTGTATTGATGAGATGCGAGGATTCCCCCGTTGTTACGACAAATTTCTCCTTCTCTTAGGAGTAGTAAACCTAGAAATGTATTACTCGCTAAAATGGCCTCGTTGCAAGAAAGTAAGCGGTCAGAAAACAAGCAATGCACTGCATTTGCCATTTTCAGCGAAAATTTGACTATATTTTCAAGTTTTATTCCAAAGAGCGGTCGTAATGCAAAATCGCATATTTTCGCCGTGATTTTTATTACGGGTAGACGGGTAAATTTTGGCAAATTGATAGCTGATGGTTATCTGAGCCTTTTTTTTGAAATTTTGATATTTTGAAATCAAATTGAAATATCAGTGTTAACCATGTAGCCTCTTCAACGAACAAGCACATCTTGCGCAAATTTTTCAGATATTCACATTTTCCCGTTTCCTATTTGGATATTTCACATTTGTAAAAAAGGATAACACTTTGCCTATAGTAATATACAGGCTCCCCATATCTTTATTGTAAATCTCCTCGAATAAGTCTGCGTTTGTTGAACGAGAGGCTTTGGGGAATTCAATATGTGATTCACTCGCAGCTCTTGTGTTAACGGAAGGACCTCTGCATATGTTGATTAAGGGGATCGAAATGCGCCAGTGAAAATAAAATAAAGGGATGCAAACAATAACGCGTATCGTTGGACCCCATTGCCCGACGAAGGCTTACCACATAGCATTCGAAACGTAACAATTTTAGGTTGGAAAGCGACTGAGAAAAGGGAGACAGATAGATAAAGTAGTTGAAATGCACATATTTGTAAAACTTTTTAACAACTTTTCCCGTCATTTTAGCTGCTTTGTTTTTGTAGGTGCCTATTTTTATAAATGTCACCAAACTGTTATCTGATTGGCTTATCCTCTCGCCATCAATCTATTTCGTGATGGATGATTGTGATGGTGGATTTGGGCTTCTCACTCATCCTCTACTATTATTATCATTATTAGAAATATCGTGCTCATAATCCAATTTTTAGGCATGAAGTAGACGGATATGCTCTATTTTCTATGTACTATAAATTTTTTCAGTTTCTTTGTGGCTACCTCGTGCAACCTTTTTTTTTTTTTTAAAATTTTTTTTTACGGTGTGATATTATAATTACAGATACAAGTGCACAAAGTTAAGTAAACTTCCCACCTTCTCTGTCATTCCACATAAAGCATGCCTGGACATCCTCTTTCAAAAAGGGACAAAGAGGCTTTAGCCGAGAAGTACCTTTGCCTATACTGTCAACTGCTTTTAAGAGACGCCATGCAGACAAGTTGTGGACATTTTTATTGCCAGTCATGTTTGGTAAATCTCATTAAGTAAGTGTACGTTCAAAGATTTTAAACTAGTATTATTTTTGTTGTTTTATATTATCATCACTAAAGACGTATTGGTTTCACTTTTCTTGTTAGGGAAATATCCAAATCATTCCTGTTCCATCTTACAAATCAGTGACTATTTTTTTTAATCAGGGATGAAACTTCCATGATGATATGTATAAAAGATCAGACAAGGCTTCTGACCACTCAGGTTTGGATTTTGTTTTCTTTGTCTTACATCTTTTTCAAACGCTATCTTATGTTACTACAACTTATATAATCAAAAAGCGAATTAACAGTTCGGGCCATAACCATTTCTGGATATCGGTTTCGAGCTTTGTGATTGGGTGAGATCAAAACCAAAACAAAGCAAATTTGGCCGAGAGGTGCTGGAAACAAGAAGAAGCTGATTTTTTTTTTGTGGCGGCCATGTTGTAATGCGGTAGTGATTAAGAAGGAAATTCATTATACATCTCATTAGTCAGCGTTTATTTTAGACTTCGAAGGGAATGTTCGGGACACCTCTTTGTGAAGGCAAAAACGAACTTGATCATTCCTAAACCACGGGCTTGCTGATGGGCGTAAACGATAGCCGTTTAATTGGTGCCACTGTCTCACAAGCACACCAGTAATAACACCTCTTTCCTTTTTTAATGAAGATGGTTTAATTTCCTAACATTTTACTTGAATTGTCTGGCATCATCAGGAATCCTATGTATATAAAAAAACAGTTTAGCTAAATGCTTTGTTTAAAACAAAAAAGCAGAGCAAACTCAGAGAAAGACAATAAAGCGTTACGTTTTAGCAAAATTTGCACGCGAGCTGGAAGTAACAGGTAACACGGCGCAATTAAAATGGAAAGGAAAAAAACCTTAGGTTAAACACATATAAGTGCGTTTTTATTAAAAGAAAGAATATTGTTTACGATTTGCTAATTGAAAAGGAGAAAGTGTATCTTAACCTTCATTAGCGGGATAGCAAGGGTACGGGTAAGTCGAATGTTTCTCTGCTGCTTCCTAATTCTGGCTTGTATAGGTCTTCTGGCCTCGCTAATGTGAACTGAACCACATTCAATTGGGATCATGTATAATATCCTGTGAACCTTCTCATTTAGTCACGTCATTTGTGAGACTTTCAGCGCGCCGAGACTTTAATCCCGGGTGAAACGCATTCTCTCACTCCTAGTGCTTCGTGAGCCTGTCTTGGAATATATCTGCCGCCAGGTAAAAGTAATATACAAGCAAGCCGTGGTGATATCAGACTTGTAGGCAACAGCTTCTACCGAATTAAAGCAACCGTAGGCGTTGCCGTCACCATCCAACCCCACCCTCACTATGAAAATCGAGAGAATTTTTCTAGTATCGACTCCATTCCCGAGTGTAGTTCGAAGTTGTTACCACCAGCATTTCAAAATGGCAATATGGGATGCATGCATATCATCTGAGCTTTGGTCATTTCATGAGAAAAGATTTCTGACTAAGACATTTTTCAAACTCTTCAACGATTTAATAATGATCATCTCTTAATACCAGACAATTGCATTCTCTCAGGCTTTTGCAGACAAATTCATGCGGAGAGAAATACTTGCTCTTGCCGTACATTGCATATTCTCGGATGACGGATGCCATTGGAAGGGAGAAGTCAGACATTTAGAAGTAAATATTTGTTCTATTCTACCACTGTTTCACCACTTTTTATTTTGATCCGATGACGTCCAAGTAGGTTTGGATAAAAATTATTACGCCAAAGTCGACCGAGATAGAGGTGTTCTCTGATCCTTAGATTTATTTCACTAACGAAGACAGCTTTCTTTTCCTCTTACATTTATTTCAGGTTGTTTCTGTTTGATTAAAAAATAATTTCTAATGCATGTACCATCCTAGGAATTAACCGTGACATTTTAACAAATCTACCACTTCATGTAGGCCAAGTTTTCATTTTTATTTGGAACAACTTTGTGATTAAACCATAAACATTCGCTCTCTTTTCGTACAGAAGCCTTAGATGAACAGGTTTTTTTGTTGTTGTTGTACTTTAAATATATTCAGCAAGCCGCCACGAATGTGCATCTGCGACTTAATGACTGAGTACCAGGAGATACTAAAGTATAATTTTGTCCTGTCACAGAGCCATATCTCAACTTGCGAGTTCCTGAAATTACCATGCGTTCATGCTGAGTGTGGTGTATTGGTGAAAAAAGCTGATATTACTAAGCATTTAAAGGAGGAATGCACGTACAGATTAGAAAAGTGCTCATTTTGTCAACAACAGATCAATCTGAACAAGATGAAGGTGAACTATCTGCAAATATTGTTCAAATAATGTTGCTACTTTGAGGACACAAGTATTGGAAACCGATAAGCTTTGGTAATCATAGCCAAGACGAGCAGCTGAAGCCCAAACTAATTACGACTAGTGCTCTTCATTGTTTGGATTTGTCTTGGGTAACAATCCGGCGGAGCCCTTAAGTTGTAGAGAATTTGAAATGATTATGAACTTCTTGACAAAACAGCCTTGGGTTGCCAAAACAGCGGAAATAAAGAAGAGACACGATCGCTATTTACAGGCTGTATGAATACTAAGGTGACGTCGCAGAACAAATCATAAAAGCTAAATTAATGCAGATTGTCACGAACTTCCCCTCAATAACAAATTCAGCACTAGGGTCAAACGATAGTACATACACTGTACGAGTAAACATGCACGTTTACTCTCAAAGTAATTGTAAGCCAAAATAAATTCGATTCAAGATGTTCAAGGAGGTTGGTAAAAGCTTCCATTGCTCTGCGGTGTGCCCCTCTCTGACTGGTGGTAAAAATGCTAGCGCATGCGTTTAGCGACGTGTAGCAAAATTTGATTTGCAAGGTTCCCCTTGACCTGGCAATCAAAGTGAAGACAAATAAAAGTAATGGAAGAAATACTAAAATATTTGCTAGAGTTTCACCTTCAGTAGATGATCTGTCTTATAGGCGCACCAGGAGACGGACTGTCCAGCATATCCAATTCGTTGTGGCAATTGTAACAGAGAGGATATTCCTCGAAGACAGGTAAATTTTTTGAATGAATAAGAATGATGTTGTTTGAATAACGTCTCAGAATTTGAAACAGTTCTCAAAGAATGACTCATTGCTAGTTTCAATCTTTTAAAATTATGCGAGGACAATCAGTACGCAGTGCAATTTCAAAATTTTTATGAAAATGTTGTTGTTACTTCTATCGTTGCCTCCATCATTAAGTACTATTATTATTATAATTATTACTATTATTATAATTATCATCGTTATTATTATCAATTATTGTCACTGGCAGGCTAATATTCCAC